TCAAAAACGAAACTAAGAATAAAACACCGTCTGTATTCAATTACTTTTCTAACGTTGAAACTGATCTTAAAAAAATGAAAAATATAGGACTAGAGTGGCTTAGATACATTCAAAAAAGCGTCATATCTCAAAGAAATCAAAAAGATATATTAGAGAATGTAGTAGAAGAAGAACGCGTGATAAACGAACTACTGCTTCCTACTAGTTCCTTATCCGTTAAAAAGTTGTTGCAGTACTCTTTGTTACCTTCTCCACACCCAGAAGTAATAATCGATCTTTACGACAGGGGCAGAGCTGACGCATTTCGCTGGGAACAATTGTATCTTCGAGAACAGAACTTAAAAAATTGTTAAATTGCTTTTTGGTGCACAGAAAATTAATGACAAGTGAGAAGACTGAGTTTGCATAATGAAACTGCCAGACGTAGATCAACTTTTAAATAGGGCATTAAACAAGTCGAATCGCATCACTCGAAACAAAGTTAATATTGCAGCAAACATTCCTTCCCTAAGTCCATATAGTAAGTTTCAAATTGCAAAACTTATAAGTAAGTTCGAACCACAACCAAAACACGAAAATAATCACTCGAAAAAGCTTGTATACGCCTATTCCTCAAAACTCAACAACAAAATCTCATAAAAATAATGATATCGAATCCAATGATGCAATGCTTACTAATAAAACACTTAGCCATGACCAACAAAAATTTACTCTCAATGACGATTTCTTAGGATGTAATATCAAATTACCACTAACAGGGTATACAAAAAAATCACCCAAATTCTTAAAATTGAGTAAGGAGCCAACAGTAAAAAGTCCGAGAATTCCACTGGTAAGTCACAATGTATAAATTTTTTAGCAATATACCAAACGGAAAACTTCTATTATCAATATAGAAAACTTCCCTCAAATCGAAACACAGCTATTCAACAACAAAACTGACGTTTCAGTCAAACTGTCAAATTCAAGCATTTCAACTAAAAAACCAACGAGTAAATTTTTGATCAGCCCAAAGCTGGCTGAAACTCAACCAAAACCGCCGTTAAATAATTATTCTAAAAATTATCAAACCAAAGGCGATAATGCTGGGAGTTCATTTTCTGATCAGCTTTCTGATGACGGCAGTTTTAAAAAAATTGATGAACTAAATATTTGGAATGAGAACCTCGAATTTGCGTTGCCAAAATTTAGCACTAGTAAAGTAAAACGCGCGAATACTAAATTCAACTACCAACAGCATTCTAGCATAACAGACAATAACGCTGTTAAATTAGTAGTATCTTCATCAATCACTGATTCATCCATAAGTCACTCGACTCCTGGAATTGAATCTCACACTACTACCAATAATTGTAATGTGCAAGATTACCAACGTTCGAAACAAAACACTAAAGTAGAAGAAATCAATAACTTTAACGAACAGTTGACAAAGAATATTTTAAAAAGTATGAAGTCTAACATGGATCCTTCTCGAATCATATACGAAGAAAAATCATCTGATGATCTTGTCAGTCAGCAATCACCTAGCAATGATAACAGAAAAGTCAATATTTATTCTTTCTCAACAAAACCTTTGCGACAAAAATCTTCATTCAGTTTTGAAACTATCAGTTCCCATTCAAATAGTAGTGCTGACGGTATAATTTTAAACTCAAATTCCCAAGCTCAAGAAAAAAACATCCAAGGTATAATTTCAAGTAGAAGAACCGACCAAGACTCATCTTTTACTAAGGTAAACCAAAACAATAAACTTAACTATTTCAATAAAAGGCAAAATAAAGCAATTACTATAAAACGAAACTTAGGGTCTTTAAAAACTCAAATTTATCGAAAGTTGGACGATAATAATGTTTCTATTTCTAAAGTTAAAAAAACTAAACAATTAAGTTTATCTACTCAATTGAAACCCGATACGCAGAAACAAAACAAAACAAAGTCGAATCAAGCAAATGAAACAAACCCGCAAACTAATGATTCACATATTGAAGAATTAGAGAAAAAGACAACTAGTCCAACTTTACCTATTATTAATGCAGTGATGCAACCATTAAAAGAGAATGACCCGACGTCTTTATCTTTAAAAGCTCGAAATAATGAAAAATCAAAGATTGCATCAGCGTATTCTACTCATGGTAACAGTTCTGATAAGAATAACAGTTTGTATAATGAGCCTTCGATCATAAAGTCAAATATCGAACCTGAAAATAAAGAAGTTGTCAAAGTAAAACCTGTTTATTTAGATAAAAAATTTACAGCCTTGAATTTAAAACCATTTCTTTCGAGTCAATCAAAGAATACCTCCCGCACAGCGGAACAAACATCGAATATTAGTCAATCTCGTTTTACGAACAATCAAACGACAATGGTAACAGACTCTAAAGTTAGTACAATAAGAAATCAACAAAAAAAATCAGCCACTGTTATAGTTGACTCAAAAAAAAATACGCAAACTCAAAAGACGATTCAACTAAGCAAGGCTATCAATAACGAACAAAAGAATTTCTTACAATTCCCTACATTTAATTTTTTAAGAGAATCGTTTAAACGCGAAGTAACTAATTTATTCGTTCCCAGTTCTTCAGATTCAACCGAATCTATGATTGATAAAGACAAGCGAGTAAAAAATAAGAAGGAACTTATCAACTTAAAAACAAAAAATAAGATTAGAAATCAAATTCCAGGCGTGAATCGACCAAAAAGTGACAATAGAAACGTGCAATCTGAGGGTGAAGCTAAACGTTTATCGTCAAACTCATCAAAAAACGTAGAATATAACCATCATTATGCGAAACCGATATCTAAAACTACATTGTCTCATAACCTTATGGCTAACAATAAATCGATTTCATCGAAGGTGATAAAACTAAATTTCAAAGACAAACACACTGTTGGTCACAGTCATAATGTTAAAGTCATTCCTGCATCTAAAGAAGATGATAAGTATATAGCCCACAATAAAAATACAGTATCAGATTTTAATAATTATCAATCGTGGGATAAATCGAAACTCAATGATAATTACGATGTTTTAGGTATACCAGATATTAGTAAAGTTCCAAGTACTCCTGCAAAACGATTTTTCAAATCTAATAATAAGTATGACTCGTCAAACCTTAGCCTCGACGAGGAATCAAGCAATCCAAAGCGCATTTTAGACAAATTTAAAGTCGAAAGACTTTACCCCTGTAGCAAATACGTTTGTGATTGGATTCAAGAACCAAAGTACAGTTGCGATGATAGACAACTTTCCAAATTAAAATTAGATAAACAAAAGTTACTGATTACAATGAACAAATATTTTGAATTTGACAACATGAAACTTGACATTGAAATAGACACAAACACTCTGCTTAAATGCGGTGACATAGATAATTTCACTCACAATGATTACGCTAAACTGCAGTCAAGGCAAATCAAAAAAATAAAATTTATTATTGTTTTGAGTAACATACTTTCTAGATACACTTACCTGTATGTACATGGAAACGCGTTTCACTCGCTCAGCAATGAAACAGCAAGCACAACCTTGTTGCATTTGTATCGATATATGATGTCGTTCAAACAACCAATTGTGAAGCTTGACGAAAAGGTCAAGCGACTGCTTTCATTAGAAGTCATACTAAAAAAGCTACACATCAGTTCAATTGTTTTAGCGTGGAATGAAATTAAGCTTCGAAACGAAATAACAAGACAATTTCTATACACTAAAACGCGTAGCTCAACCACAGACCTTGGTTATTTTCTGAGAAACTTTAATTTAGAAACTTTACTTCAGCCTGCAAATCGTATCAGTAACGCTACACGATATCCTATACGGTAAGGTCTTACACTTCAAAAAATTTGAACAAAGCAAATAAATACCTTTTCCATAAATAATAGATATACGCATTAAATATGAGTTTTTCAAGTAATGTATTACTCTATTTTTTATGCATAAAATTGTACATTATTTAGAAAACTAAACGTAGTTTTATACTATACATAAAAAAAGATGCCAACATTGGTTAATGACATCTTGTAGTCAAGATAGATCAGCTATTTTTCAAAATAACCAGTTCGTCAATATATATTTAAATTCTCTGGATTTCATAATTAATTTAACAGACACAAAATAATTTTAGCTAGCTTTATTTAAATTCAATGACACTATCTTATGCCAGATAACGTCGAGAATACTTGGGACATATATAATGAAATCATTGAACAAACTATTGACTCGTCGAGGCATTTAGCACGAGGCGCCATCATTGACGAATTAAAAAAAAGATGGTACGCATTACTTAATAGCAGAGTCAAAGGATCCCAAAAAAAATATACAGAGTCAATCACAAATATTAGCCCCTTCATGCCTGAAAGTGAAAATGACGACATTTTCGGCACAGGAACAAGTATTTCCCTCAATTCTGCGTCTGACGCATCTAAAACATTATTTATCGAATCTTTTTCACATAATTCTATGAGTTTAAACAACTCCCCAAACCCAAAAGAAGCTGAAAATGGGCGTGTTTCTGAAGAATGTTTGTCAGACAATAGTAAAGCAAACCAATCTGATGATTGGGGAGACTGGGAAAACCTTGGGGAAAAAGAACAAGCGCCTAGTTCCGTATTTGAAGAAACTCTAGAACAGTCAACCCTACCAGTTGAGGTTCACAGTCAAAACTTATCAGATGACGACATTGAATACCCAGAAGATAAAGATTTTGAAATCATTTTTAAAACGAGTTGCAGAAACGCGCCTAATATAACAAAAATCTCTGATTTCGACGAGGTCAGCTCGAGCTTGAGCGACGTAGAAACATTAAACTGCGACGAACCAGAATCAACAGACTCAATAATTGGCATTTGCGAGCATCTATCAAGGTACAACAACAAAGGAAAAAACATTTGGAACTTCTCCATAAGAGGTGGTATCGCAAATATACGAGGAGTAGAAATTCTTTTTGATAAAATTATTGCGGAATTTGAATTTCAATCTGGTATTCCTTAAAATATAAATTCAATCAATAATCGTCTGACATACTCAACACTTCTTTGCACTCTTTGTGTAGTAAAATCGTGTGTTCTGTTTGTGAAGTAAAGCTGCCATAAACATCGTTCAAAGGTGGGAAGTCTAACGCAATGTTCGCCATAACTAATGCCTTTAATGGCAACAAATGTTTCGTCATTCCGAAGTCATCAAGCCATCTGCGGCAAAAAGGTAATGTACCAAACTTAGTGTGGATTTCTCGAAGCAGCTGTCTAGCTGAAGCCATTGAATGACCTGGCAGTTGGTGTCTTAACATATCGTAGTTAAGAGAGTAGTGGCTGCAGGTACCAGCTGACACTACTGTACCTGAACCAGTTGTGGCAAAAGTCTCTATAGCGTAGATTTCATTTTCATGCATTCGCTCATGATTATAGGTTTGAACCAATGGAACAGATTTTTTTGCGTGTATTCTATAAGGCTCGATGTTGTGACCACTGAGATTTTCAATTGGTTTAATGGGAACCATTTTTCCTCCCACTTCCATTTCAAAAGAAGAAATGATTTCTTCTATGCTGGCTCCGATGTCATCGATGCACTGGTCTATGCCTGCCATTTTGACACCTTCAGCCGTTGCTTCCTTCGTTGCTTGAATCAACGGATCGAATTTTTCATCAAAAGCTACACTAAATGCACTGTCAATAATGTACCCATCAACATGAACTCCGAAATCAACCTTGACAATGCTATTCTGCGAAAATTTCATGACAGGATCGCCGTAATTAGGTGTGTAGTGAGCTGCACATTCGTTCAAGCTCACACCTGTAGGAAAACCCCATCCACTTTTCAATCCTTTTGCAGATATCAGTTTTTTTGATTTCGCCTCTAACTTTTGAACAAATTCTAAGAATTCCAAACCCGGCTTGATGATTGACTGCGCAAATTTTCTCGTTTGTTTATGTGCTTCAGCAGCGCGACGAATCGAAGAAAAATTTCCAGATTTAATCACTTTTTGTTCTCGCAACTCGTCTACAGTTGGCAATATGTTGTTTCGCGTATTGTAAGGCAAAAACACGCCCGTTGGATATTCATTTTTTTTGTATTGTTTATCAATTGGCACTGAAAATTGAGCGTCTTGATTGGGAAAAGCGGTTTCCTTCCATTCCCCGAGCAATCGCAGCTTCATTCGATCAGAATCTGCCATTTTTTACTTGTTGTTTATGGTAAAAAGTTTATCGCAATTGTCTCTTACAATTTTTTCTTTAATTTTTTATTTCATGTCCAAATAAAATATTTTCTAATTCTAAAGTATACTCTGCTAACGCATTAAATTCAGATAACGCGAGCTGCACCGTTTCCGCACATTCCAGCAATAAACTAACTGGATTGTTTATTTTTCCGTTTTCACTCGCGTTAACGGCCTCTCTTATGCTGTCCTGCAAACTAACTTCTATAGTTTGTAAATCTTTTGTTTGCCTTTCGACTTCATAATTATTTATACTTGGATTGATTTCAATCACACATTCTGTCATCATTTCATGTTTGTTTGATTCTAGCAAAGTGTCCCACGTATTACTTGAAAGCTGTCTTTTTACGATTTGCATTTCAGATTGGTACTTAAAAACTTTTTTCTCCAATATCTGGTTGCGTTTCAACAGATCTTTTCGATCACGCTGCAAAGTCTTAAATAACAAATCCAAACATTGCAATTCGCTCACCAATTTTCTTGCTGCGGAGAAATCATTTGTCTCTAAAGCTGTTCTAACAGCCAACACTTTTTCTACAGCATAAGGGTTACAGTGAATATCAGAATCTAGTTGTTCGGCTTCTACATTGATAAAATTTTTTTTTCGACTATTTGAGATTGAATTCATAATTTGGTGCGGATAATACATAGAAACATCATAAAAAATTTACAGCAAAATTATTATAATCAATTATATATCAACTGCATTTTAGCTCGCGGTATTCTCAGGCTCGTTTTCTTTTATTTTCGTAATAGAAACACCCGGTATTGGTTGAACTTCAACTCCTTTCTCTATTAACTTAGCTTTTTCTTCAACCAGATCTTTTTTGCCTGTTAGTAGATATTCATCAAAACCTATTGATATGGCTGTGCTGACAACCGGAACTTTAACACGTTTTTCCATTTTAGGTATTTCTTCAACTGGCAATATTTCTTGCTCCGGTTCCTTGACTTGTAAATCTTTTTTAGCTTCTATTTTTACAGGTTCTACATAAGCTTCGTGATCAAACTCGAATAGCAAATTAATGCTCACACATTCTTTACGGACTGGATTGTATTCATAAGGATACACGCAAACAGGCTCAGCTGTTATACGCTCGAACCGACTGCACTTTCCGTTTGAATCTAGCAGGGTATTATTTGGGCAAGAACTAAGTTGTTCGACAAATAACTTTTTAAGACATTTGTCATTTATAAGAGTATATCCTTCTTCGCAGATAACCAATGGTTTACTTTCTCTTATACGTATACATCCACGATCTGATTCGTAAACTTCATCTTCATTGGAACAAGATGTAATTCCTTCTACATATTCTTTTTTCATGCAAAAGCCATCTATGTCTAATTCTGTATCATTGCAGTCTTCTAAAATACCTGCTCGTGTCACTTTCATGCATAATTTTTCACCTTTTTCTTCCGTCAAATAATAACCATCGACGCATTCTACACTTGGAGAGGTTATTTCCAGACTCACACATGTTCCATCATTTTGTAACGCGTATCTTTCGGCGCAAGATACAAGTGCTGTGTCTATTTCTACAGATAAACACATACCATCAGAAAGAATTGTATTGTTCGTACATAAAAGCGACGGCTCGGTTATCACAGTGGACAAACAAGCATTTCCAGTAAGTTCAAACCCTATAGGACAAGCGGCACTTGCTTCAAACACTTTTCGCTGGATACAATCCGTTTTTGACATTAATAAATAATCCGGTGGGCAAAGTTTTTTCACATCAACAACGTCTAATGATTCGCATTCGAAAGAACTAGTCTGATAGTATCCGATGGGGCACTTTAATTTTGTTTGAATGTATTCATCTAAATCAACAGAACCTTTTAATAGTCCCTGTTTTTGTATTTTATACTGTTCCTCATATGGCAATTTGATTACGGATTTTTTTTCACATTGTTTCAAGCTAGTATTTAACGTGTACCCCATTTGGCAAGTCATTTTAGGAATCTCGTGTAACGTTTGACTACATTGTTTTGTACTTGTCAGTTCGGTATTATCTGGGCAGCTATACATCACAGGAACAGAAAGTTCTTCAACGCACCGATCGTTTATTAGTAATCCTTTTTCACAAAATAAACTTGGTTCTAACTTTACAGCTCGGGTACACTGTCTAGAAGTTAAACTAAAATCTTCTCTACACAAAAAGGTAGGATCAGTTATATGTTTTGTAATGCATTTGTCTTCGTCGAAGATTGAATTCACTTTACATACATTGTGCGGAACATGAGTTTCAACTAGGCTACAAACGTTGTTTACTAATTTTTCCGGAGCTGAACAAATTGTATTCTTTTTTCTAAATTTTGGAATGTAGCACTTTTTTGCATCGTCGTCGAAGAACGAATTTTCTGGACATGTTATTGTTTTCGGTACAATTTCTTTTTCAACACAAACATTGTTTTGATTCGTTCCTTTTTCACAAACTAAAAACGAAGCTTGAATATCATAAGCAGAACAAACGTTGCTTTCTGGCTCGATCACCCAGCCCGGAGGACACGTGATAACAGGGGCTTCGCTTGCGTACTTTTCACAGGATTGATTTACCAAAACAAAATCGTACGGACATTTAAGCGTAGGCGCAACACTCGAAAACACTTCATGAGCAATTAAGTTTGGTTTTTGCGTAGTAGCTATTTTTCTTCTCAAGTCATTCAAGATATCTTCCTTAAGGAATCCTTCTGTAGCAATAGCATTTACTAAGCTAAAACAAAAAATTCTCTTCGTCCAATAAGAAAAGAGCATATTTCGTACTTTGTTAAGTTTTCAGAAATGAAAGTGTTTCCAAACATTTTATAACAAATATCAAATTTAAACAAGTATTAAGTTGCATATTGGGTTTAACTCAATTTAGGATAAAATTTAACCGTTTTCTTAATATACTTATTTTAGCTTTGTTATTGCACCTGAAAATTTCACGATTGTAAAATAAATGTAGTAAATGGTTGTATTGTATAATAGAAACTTTAACATAATATTTTATGTTGCAGGCTGTTTAGGATTTACGATTATTGCTCTGGTTTTTATTTATTTGTTCGCGTTGTTGGTTAGACGGAGTAAACATGTGAATGAACGACGGCTTCGTAATTTGGAAGATCTTGAAAATACAAAAAGAATGAATAAAATTGAAAAAAGTGACTATATAAAAACTCACATGATAAAGCATATTATACGCGATGATTCGTCCATTTAATTATGTTGTTCAAATGCCATTCTATGGATAATAATCATTTGTTGCACCGTCATTATTTATGAACGAGAAATAGTTTTCAACTATGATATAGACAGTATATATTTAGATTATCTAATTTCAAAGTTTAATAAACCACAAGAACTGATTGCAACAAAAAATTTCACATAATGTTTATGACATGGAAAAACGGTCAAACCGCAGTTCCACCAAACTTAATCAAATTATAGAAACTAATTTTTTTTTAAGATAAATTTATAAAAATATGCTATGTTTATTGTCCATAAAAAACCGAAAAATTTGTATAAGACGTTATGATGATCTCTATTACGTTTAATTAATTGTTTATGGAGTTTAAAGTTTATGGCGACAAGTGAAAACATTAGTTTTTTGTTTGATGACATTGAAGCAATTCTTTTCGCTTCAGAATCAAATAAAGACTACCTTCAAATTTTTAAAAGTGTTTCATGCGTTAGATTAATCTTGCATTATTTACCTTGTATTATCAAAACAATATTTGTTCGTACTTTATTTTTGACTGATGACGTAAAAATCGACGCGATTCTCCACTGGTTCAACTTTAAAAAACATAAAAAATCAGAACTCACTAGAGATTTGTTAGATTATTGTAAAAAACGAAACTTTATCGAATACGCTTTCCCAGACTTGTCTTCAGATAATTCAAAAAAGCTAATCAAGTTTAAATTAAACTCTGATTTTCGGAACTCTATCATTCAAGCTATAAAAATTAAAAAGACCTACAAAGACTTGCTCAGCAGTATTGACATCACATCAAAAATTCCTTTTAATTTGGAGTTAAACCAAAATGATATAGCCGAGTATTCTAAACTTCCAAAATACGAAGTTTTAATTCCAGATTACAACTTTAGTAATGAAAATCTTTTAAACTACAAAGAAATTGAACACTTATCTATGAAAAAACTTTCTAATGTTTTTTTTTATATTTGCGCTAAGTCAAAGATTCGTAGCAATATTGCTAAATATTTTCCAGTTGTGCGTTATGAAAAGATATCAGAGCCACTAGAGTTTATTTTAGAAAAAAAATTTTTCAATCAATCTGAGAACATCCATTTATGGTTTTTATACTCTTTAAACCAGCAAATCTACTATTTCGTTAAGTCGTTTATCGAAACTGAGTCTGACGTTGTAAATAAAACTTATTTGTATTCACTGTTCAGTCAGATAATTTTGTCTGAGGTCTGTATGCCTTTAAGAATCGTTGTTACTTCTCGATTAATTTCAAGGTTTATAAATTTGTGTATCGACATAGGCCTGCTCGTTGCTCAGAACGATCAATATTATTATCCCACACCGTTAAATGTGATATTTACCAAAGCAGTTTCCCCAACTCAAACTATCAATTATTTTTACGCTATGCGTTTTTATGCTAACTACACCATTCTCACTAAAGACATCAACCTTTCTAATTCACGAATATTGTCGTCAATTTATTTTTATGTAAACAATGCTCCAGATATAGAAAAATTCAACACAATATATTGTTCTAAAGTCGAGTCTGATCCTTTCAAACAACTGTCTTGTGTAGTTACGCAGCAAGAGCCTTTAAATGATCAATCTCAACACACACACAAGCTCGACCAAAATGTCAGCAAAACTGAATCTGAGCTTGAAGTGAAAAAGGTTATCGGGTTTTGTGATATTTTATGTGAAAGAAACTTTAGAATTTACATCCACAATCCGGATCTCATCACAACTTTTGTTGTCGACAGTTTTACAGATATCAGAATAATCTCACCAGCAGTTGTTGTTGCGTTAATTCAAAGATCCAGCGTTGAAAATGCTTTCACACGGGGTATATCTGTGAATCACATATTTTCTTTTTTAATTTCACGATCAAGTCAACAAGTTATTGATAATTTCTTAAGCACCCTTGTCGGTGCTAAAAGCTTTAGTTTTGAGATTAACAAGAATAACATAAATCAACAATACTTGGATATTATACCTGAAAACATTATTAACCAGATGAAACTCTGGGAATCTCAACATCGTTGTATTGAGTACATGCCAGCAGAAATTTTCGAGTTTAACCAGGAGGATGAACTTAACATATTCTCCACTATTGTACAGAAACTAAAGAAAATGATACCGATAATTGCTCATTCTCCAATATATAACGATGAAGACTTTAATTACAAGTCTTTAGACGATTGGAAGAAAGTTTACATCGAACGCATAACAGAACTACCCACGTCTCTGTTGTTTGGCAAATACGAAAATAATTACTCTCCTTATCCATATATAATTATAGATCCTAAATATAGAAACCAGTTGATTAAAATTTACAAGGAAGTCAAGCTTTACAGTCGTATAAATTTCCATCAATGAATAACAATTGCTGGTTTAATTAAATCATTCATTTATTTAAAATGTTTATTGTATCGTTTTATCGTAGAATTGATTTTATTTTTAATTACACAATCAGATCGACCAATTTTACAAGATCCTTAAATAATTATTTGTAAGACAAATTTTTAAACTATATATGTTTCTGTATATTTGGTCCGCGCTCTGTTACTACAGCGGGTTTAAGTATATAGGTTCTATTTACTATGCCGTCAAGTATCGTTTTTTCCAAGACTTTAAATCAGGATACCTCAATAAATGTTTATCTGATCAAAACTCTTGGATTATTATTGCTAATTCAAATACGCCCATTGCAACAGATCTAATTCATAGATTTGCCAAAATTTATCCTTTTCATAATTACTTATTTATAGCACGTGATCAAAAACATTTTGATTCAGTAAAAGAAGCTTTTCCTGATAAACATTTTGAATTTTTACAGATGGACTTCACAAACACAACGGAAATTGAAAAGTTCAAGAGTTGGATAAACACAATAAATAATCAAAAAATAAGCTGTCTTATCAATTGCTTTTCAATTTGTTGTTACGCAAACACAAAAAATATTTTTGAAGCGCAGACTAATGATCAAATCAAATCATTAATCGACTATTATTATCGAACACCTATTTTGCTTACAAAGAATATTGCAAATTATATGGTAAAAAATAAACACACAGGCTTTATAATAAATTTCGGCAGTACAAATCATTATTATGCAAATCCAAGTAATATTGTAGCGTCATCCTGTGAAGCTGGACTAAATGCGTTTAGCTCAGCCCTTAGCAAAGAATTATTAGAATTCAAAATCAAAGTTTTACAAATTGAACCTGGTTTAATAAGAACAAATCTGAATTTTCAAAAAAATATCAATCGATTTAACAGTGTTACAGTCCAAGACAACGGGTATTATGCATTTAATATTATTCTAAACTGTCAATTTAAAGATAATATAGTTAGTTTTACTCCACATGCAAAACAAGTTATAACGTCGTTTTTGGCAAGCTTTATACCAAGATATTACAAAAATTTAATTTATAAAAAGAAACTTCATTCCGTTAGTTGAAGATTTATTATTTTTTTTGATTTGCTATGGTAGAACTTAATTTACTTTTCACTTTATCAAGTAATACATCTCTTTGTTCTATTTGGGTTTTCAAAGCTAATATTGTTTTGTTGGCATTGTTTAATTCATTTTGTAATCTTGTAATTTCATTTTTAGATTCAATTATGATTGTTTTTTGTTTTTCAACGTGAGAAGCAAAGAATAAAAATTTTTTCTCAAAAGAACTGTGAATTAAATTTATAATTTTATTATCAAAAAGCGCTTTGATTTTTTTTTGCATATCTAAACTCGATAGTGACCTTTTAATTTTGAAATTGTATAGTTGAACTTTTATGGGTTCAGTTTCAACCGATGGATATGATAGAGCGAATTCGGAAAGTACATTACGAATTTCATCAAGTACCAATAATGATTTGCTATCTACGTAGTTTGCAAGCTCCGAGAGATCTTCTCCGGAGACGTTTAATATGTGATACATGTCTTGCAATGCGGTTCTAGTAGCCTGATTTACCTGTTTGCCCGTTCGAGAAAGTTTGTTTGCAAGTGTAAATTTTGATCCATCAGCGGTAAACTTTGAATTATCTTTATGATTTTGCATCGGTTCTAAAATTTGTGTTGAATTTATGATTCCATTATGCTGTTCGGGGTTTTCATGTTCTGTAGTGACTATACGATTTTTTTCTGCTGTGGGTTGGTTAGCATCAAGGGAAATTAACTTTTCACTCGCATCTGAATCTAATTTTGATAAATTTGTTTCAATACCAGCAGAAATATCAGTTTGATTTATTCTACCATTATAACTGGAACTTTGTGTCACTTTTATTTTTATTGGTTCTGATTCTGTAACGATAGAATTGCTCGTTTCTTTTGAGTCAGAACTAGTCTCAAATAGTGGAACGCTTTGACCAGCACAGCCCACATTTTTAATAGTATCAGTTTGATCCAGTTGTACTAATGGTCTATCTACGTGGTCAATTCTTTCTTTATCTTGCGTTATAACATCTGATAAATTATTTGAATTTGAGTTAGCAGAGTCATTGCACTGAGTTTCTATAACGGAAATTGTATCGGAACGATATAAAGTGTCCATGTTTGCTTCGGATTGGAGCGAATTCATTTTGCATTCGATGGCCAAAGAATCGGAAACGTGTTGAACTGTGTTATTTGCCGTAATTTGGTTTTCAATTACTTTAATTTCTAAGTCATCGAAGCGTTTCCGAGATTCTTCGTTTTGAGTTTCGGTTGATTTAACTTCATGTGTAACAAGCTCAGATGTGTAATTAAATTTATTTGAGTCAACAAAACTTTTTGTTAAGTTCGGTTCAAGACAAAATTGATCGTTATTTGTCGCGTCGTCATGAACGAGGTTCTTTTCATTTGTTGGCACATAGTTATCAACTTGTTTGTTTTTTAGTTCGACGGAGTCAGATTCTATATGCAAGTTTTTTATCGATGATTTTAAGCTGTAGTTGTCATCAAAACTGTATAATTTAGACTTCAATTCTAATATACGGTCTGGAATAGTTTTTTCTTGTTCGTTGCACTGCTCCGGATTGATAATATTGAGGTGATTAGCAGGCGGTAGCTCCATACTGTGTGATAAAAGGGGATTACGATCTGTTTGCGATTCGGAAGCAAAATTTGTGTTCGGCATGTTAACATATCCACTGTGACGTTGCGGTCGTCCTGGTGTTGAAGTTCCTGATAATGCCTCTTTCAAAGACCCTATGCTGTTCGCAGGTTGTGGATAGAGATTAATCAAATTACTCGGGTCTAATCTTGTTCTCACAAATGTTTCTTTATTAGTAACAGTTGGCGGTAAAGCAGCTAAAGCCACTTCTTTCTCTTTGTTTTCTTCTTCTCCCGGAACGACCCAGCATTTAAGCTTCTCATTGTAATACATTTTATTGGCTTCACCAATGCCCGTGGCAACAGTCGTTCTGCTGGTTCGCAATAGTCTAGAAAGCATTTGTTTGAAATTGTGGCCAGAAAAACTAATATTACATGTCTACAATTTTAATATACGATCGATTCAGTTGAAAATACAAACATTATTATAACGATATAATTTCGCAATTAATTATTATAACGATAAAAATAATTATTATTCCGGCTTAATAACTGCGACCCCAAACTGTGTACTGTGTGGCTGGATGGTCACAATTAAAGCATTTTATGTCTGCTAAGCCATTTGTTTGAGCTAAAGGAGTGTAAAGAGTTTTAATTGAACCTTTTATTGTACTGTTCATAGCTAGAAGATCGGCTGCAGATTTTACTTTTACATCTTTTTCACATTCTTTTCTATTACACCACGGTGCTACAGCTTGCTTCAACGAGATTACTACGTTGATTAATTCCTGATAAGAAGTTATGGGAACTTTGCAATTTTTTTGAATTTCAAATGCATTTTCATACATAATTTTGTGTATTTCTGTCATTGCTGTTTCAACAATCGAAATTAATAGATCTAGTTTGTAATCAGCTTTGAAACCATCAACTCGCCTTGCTAAACGGAATGTACCTTCAGATAAATCTTTCGGACCTACTTCAAGTCGAAGGGGAACCCCTTTGAGTTCCCAGTGCGAGAACTTGTAACCTGGATTGTAGTTTTCACGAAGGTCGCAATCCGCTCTTATATTATTTGCCAACAAACTTTCTTTGATCTTTTCGCAGTGAGTAACTAAAGCGCCGACATCAATCGCTTTCTTTATTATGGGTATGACTATAACCTGTAAGGAAGAAACTTTGGGAGGAAGTACTAAACCTTTGTCATCACTGTGTATAAGAATCATAGCCCCGATTGAACGTGTTGATAAGCCAAAGCTGGTTTGATAAACAGGTTCTTGAACGCCAGAAATCGCTTCGAATTTCACGTTGTAAATGTTAGCAAAGTTGCTTGAAAGATAGTGAGAAGTAGCTGCTTGAATGCTTCTGCCAGAATTTGCAATGAAAGTTTCAATAGTAAAAGTCTCATCCCCACCAGCGAATTTTTCTAAATCACTTTTACGTCCACAGTTGACCGGGATAGCAAGCAGATCCGTATATGTTTGTTCGTACACGTGGAGCATTTTAAGAGCGAAGTCTCGTGCTTCTTCAGGTGAAGCGTGAGCTGTGTGACCTTCTTGCCACAAAAATTCACGGGTTCTTAAAAATGGAGTGGGATCTGAAAATTCCCATCTTACTACAGGGCACCATTGGTTGACTTTGACAGGTAAGTCTCGGTGGGATCTGATCCATGTGGCAAATATTGGGTACATAATCGTTTCACTCGTCGGACGAATTGCAATTGGTTCGGTCAATTCGCTTGAACCTGATTTTGTGACCCACGCTACTTCAGCCGCAAATCCGTCTAAATGGTTTTCCTCAGCTTCTAACTTCTGCTTGGTGACAAACATAGGAAAATAACAATTCTTTATTTGGTGTAGTTTAAACTGCTTATTGATGAAGTTTTGAATTTCTTCCCAAACATTGAATATCCATGGGCGAATCACGTAACATCCACTGACATCATAATAATCGATTATTTCTGTTTTCTTTAATATTTCAGTATACCATTTGCTGATATTATCGGCTTTAGAAACCGTTATACCAATGGCAGGTTTGTTATCTTTCGTCATAATTAAATCCTGAGAGATGCAAGGTTCGAATTCTAATTTCCTTTTTTTGGAAAAACCGATATTTTAAAAATAAAGTAAGTTTATAACATTTTCAATATAAATAAAGGCAAAGGGTACTTGCATTCATTTCCTAAATTCCACAGTGGCGGCTTAAGTTCTATCATTTTTAAATATGTGTTGTTAACTTACCGCGGATATCGTTGTGCAGATTTTCTACCTTATTATGTAATTTATTGAGTAAAAATTTTTGCTGGCATGTTCTAGTGTTATCATCGTAGTAAAAAGCTCTACCGTGTGAAATTTGACATATATAAGGACCCCAGCAATGTACAACTAATGTCGTTTGTGTATTTTACTTACGTTTTTTCCTATAAACAGCGTCTTGAAACATTCTAATTGCAATTTCTCGTCGAAGTTTGGTCGAGACACCTCAACAATGTATAACTCTATAAACTTACTTTGTACTATTAACGATAGTTCTTCACTTGATACGTCTGAATTGCAATATTTTTTCGGAAATTTTAAAACATCTTCTAAGTCCAAAATAGATTCATTGCTTACAATCGGAAATATTCTTTTCAATTTTTCAAAACTTTTTTGATAAAATTTACTAAGTGATTCTCTAGTTACTGTGTTAGTTAAAACTTTTTTTTTCAAAATTGAATTAGATAAACCTATAATATTATGCAGTTTGTGACCGATAAAATATGCTTGTATAAACTTAAACTGGTTAAAGTAAGATATAAAAAATAGAGATAGTAAAAATTTCATGAATATTTTTGCAAATCATATATTGTTCGTTTAGATTATTATTTTTAATCTTAGTTCAAAAAATTAATAACGAAACAAGACGGATTATAAATTTTTAATATTATTTTATATAATCAAATAAATATGTCTAGTCCTGCGGAACAACCAACATCCCTAATTAAAGTAAGTACTGATTCGCGCTGCGCGACTAATTTTATCGATGCTTAACAATTTTTTTAGCTTTCGGGAAATCGAGCTCGTTTTAGCCAAAGAAAATATATTAAATATATTCTAGCGGAAAACGAATCAATTGATGAATTCCAGGTAACAGCTCTTGGAGGCGCTTGTAGCAATGCAATCGTCATTGTTCACGAGCTTGTCGATCAGGAAGTTTGTGAAATAGTTGACATAAACACTGAATGCATCTTAAACCAAACTAACCCTGATGAGAACCCCAAACGTCTTGCTAGAATAATCTTCACAATTAAACGTAACCCATTCTGGAGTCCTACTGAGGCCGACCGAACTCGTTCGTTCCAAAAAAAAAAGAATACCGTTGACGGTAAATACAAAGAAAAAGAGTCAAAATAATTTTTATAATGCTTTTTAATTGATTTGTATGTTTATTCTTCTTTTATAGTTTTTAAGGTTGTTTTTTATTGAAAGAACGACAGCTGAATTTTTTAAATTTCAATAAGAAAATTCTCTAGTTTATTTCTTATTCGGCTTACAAGTATAAATACAATAAAACAAAAAACACTTAAATATGCAAGGAAGATTGTGTTATGTAAATAATCAGTTCAAAAGAATTTCGGGACAAATAAAAGAGCTTTTCGAGGATTTTAATGTACGAGAAATCTCTTGTCTTGAGGAAAAAGCTGAGATAGTCGAAGTGCCAGATAGAAAACAAATTCATCAAGAAATTCTTGAAAATTTGAACCCTTTTTTAGACATCAAATATCTCAATTTTCAAGCTTTTAATCAGACACTAATTGATCGGCAAGCGTTTGATAAAATCAATGATTTTATTTCTAATCTTATCTCGATTGTTAATGCTTCAAACTTGAGTTGCAAGATCGTCGATGAGATTTTTAGTAAAAATAAATTTTCTGAACTAATCAAACATTCAAAAAAAAAAATTTCAGAAATTGATGCCTTACGATTAAACTTAGAATTGCCTTTGGCCCTTACAAAAGAGGAGCGACTTGCTATTCATGAAGCTATTAGTAAACACGCTCCGTTTTTATCCACAGTTTACATAGTTAACGATCCAAAAAATCGACAAAACCAAAACGTTGAACAATGTACGAACCCATTATTAGGTCCTTGTATAAACAAAACCATTTTTCTTGTAATGGTTTCAAGAATTACTCAGTTGTATCTTGCCGGAATTCCTGTAAATGCACTCGTTTTTGCTAAGGATAATCCTATTACTTCGTGGAATAACAAAATGCCGGGCTATGCTAAATTGGTTTTGATGAAAAAAAATATTGACCACTCACGAGCCTTATCAATTGTCAGTAGAGTTTTAGGAGTCAGTTCTAAGTTTATTGGATTCGCTGGAATAAAAGACAAACGTGGAATCACTTATCAATTTATCACTGTGCCTCGTAAATCTATTTTAGGTTTGAAGTTAGAAATAGCAGAATATTTGCGCGAGAATTTTTTTAAAACTGATACTGGAGAAATTAAACCTTATTCTAAAACAAACGCTTCACAAATTTTTCTTGAGTATCATGAAGCCTGTGAAAAAGAGCTTCGAATAGGCGAACTGAAAGGAAACAACTTCAATATTATAATTCGAAATGTTGCAAAGAATAGCGATGTAGATAAACTGATTAATTCTTTTTCGACAAAGGGTTTTATAAATTATTTTGGATCGCAACGTTTTGGGTCTTTTTCAATTAAGTCTCATTTGATTGGATACTTGTTACTGCTGAAAAAATATAAGCTGTCTTTTTTTCTTAACATTTTGGCTTCAATCTTGATTAATAAGTACAACCAAGAATTTGACGAATTGAAATCTGTTGATGAATGCATCAAAAAATTTGCTCATGATATTGATTTTGTCGTTGAGCGTGTTATGGATTTTTCTTCTAATGATTCGGATACGCTGAACGAGACTCTCTTTGAGTTGATCGAACAACTCGAACAGAAGCTAGATGAATTTTTTTCTAAATCTAACTTTAAGAATTATACGGTTGAAGCTACATACCGAAAAGCATTAAAATTTTATTTAACAAACCCTAACAACGCACAAGGGGCTTTGCAACATTTGCCTGCTAAGCTTTTAACCTTGTATTATCACGCATTCCAGAGTTTTATTTGGAATTACCTAGCAAGCTACAGATTAAAAAAATTTGACAACAATATAGTCCAAATTGGTGACTTTGTTATCCAGTCCAAGGACGACCTTCAGGTTGAGTTTTCTGCAGAACAATCTATCGAACTCTTGACTGAAGTTGTAAGCGAACATCAAATTAAGTTATTTTCCTTTGACAAAATTGTAATTCCACTCATAGGGCCTAACATAAAGATTCCGAGCAATCTGCTCGAGTACTTAAATAAAATTTTCAACCGTTTATTTAGGATGAACTATAGCGAATTTAGTTTTGCTTCTTATTTAGTATTTAATTTAGGTTCTTATAGGTATCTTACGGTGATTCCAAGAAATGTAACATATGAGATTTATGATAATGTACGTCTACCGTTGATATCAGACGATTTTCAAAAAATGTGTAAAACTGATTATTCTACTGATAATTACTCAACTCTTGAATGTTTTACTTTTTTAGAGAATACCTCTGCACTTAAAGTCTGTTGCGATTTACCAAAAGGTTCGTATATGACTTGTGCTATGCGTGAAATTATGATAATAGATTAATGTTTTTAAAAATTATTTGAAAAATACACAGAGAGGGATTCGAACCCCCGCAAGCAAACGCTTAGTAGATCTTGAGTCCACCCCCTTGGGCCACTCGGGCATCTGTGCGATAAATATTGGTTAATAAAAGTTCGATATAAACTCTACGGTTAATAAAATTGTTTTTAATAACAAACTCCGAGACGGGGAATTGAACCCCGGTCTTCCGCGTGACAGGCGGAAATACTGCCACTATACTATCTCGGACTAACCACTTAGTTGGTTTATTATAAGACGCGTGTCACACAGAACATGTAATTGTGTATTTTTACAATAAAAAGTCTATGATTATGTTCATTAATTAGGCCAATTCTGGATTGGTCTGCCAGTTCTTGGTGGAGTAGGTGGTCTCGATGTATCTAACGTCAACCAAGTTGAATTGTTCAATGTTTTATTTGTCATTCGAGCGGGATATATTATCTTGGGCAGAATTGATAAATTTCTTCTGATAAATAATAAAGCTCCTGCGTTACCGTGCGTGCTGCAATAATCTGTAGCACTAAACAAAGTTATTAGTCTACCCGCTGCAAATCTTTCAAAACCATCCATAACACATTCATGTGCGCGTATTATGAGATCAAGTTTGTTATTAACTAGAAAATCTATAACTCGATCTGGACCAAATCTAACAATCTTACTCGTCTGATCTGGATCTCTAATCTGGTTTGGAACAATACCTAACTTGCTATCATTTTCAGTTGGATCTGACCATAATATATCAGACACTTTTTGAGAAACTTCGTCATACGGAACCAAAGAAACGGTAATTGGTTTGACGATTGAACTTATATCTTCTAGTGTATGTATTGTTTGTCCTATTCCACCATGGATACAAAGTATTTTATCTTCAATTAAAGCTGCCAACGGCAGATGTTCAAATAACTAAAATAGCTGTAAAATTTGTAACTTACCTTATTGAATTTATAAAAACAGCTATTTTCGATGTCGGGATCTTCAAGCAATCTTCTTCTACATTCATCTTTAAAACCGTAAAGGCTATTTATGTTAATATCTTCGTGATTTCCTCTTATCATTTGAATTTGATTAGGATATTGTAATTTCAAAGCTAATAACAAACAAATTACTTCTAACGAATTGGTTCCTCGATCTACAAAATCTCCCATGAACAAATAATCTGATAAATCTATGTCACCTTGAATATTTGAAGAAGAAAAATAATCTTCGTCCACCGGAGCTTTGTAATTATAAAACAGTCTCATTAGATCATAATATTGTCCATGTATATCACCAAATACTAAAAATGCTTATGCCAAGTGACTTACCTTTTATTGGCGCTCGAAGCTTAATTAAACTTTCTTCATTGCTATACAATAGTGTACATTCTTTTATTAGTTGTAGAATGTTTTCTTTAGGTATGACAAATTGATCCTGTGTGTTATAATAACGATTTACTTGTTCTAAAGTTAATTCTGGATGCATTAACTTTTCAAAAATTGATAATGAAAGTTTATTGCATTTTGCAATTTTACCAAGGGAGTAGTTTTTATCTAATGGTGTATTGATACATTTTATTTTACGTCCTTCATCTTTTAAATCTTCAATTGGAATCTTCTTAAAAATTGATGAAGGATCGGACGTGGAATCAATAATTGATATTACATGATTTGCTAGAGATACAGATTGCGCAGCAGAAGACACCGGGTGAGAATTGACGGAAGACAAATTAGTTACAGTAATTGAATTGACTTGCGACGGTGTGATTGCTAACGAACTCGATAAAGGTTGCTTAAGTAGTAAATTCAAATCAACTACAGAAAATCCTGCTTTTGGCTGATTCTGACTAGCATGTTCAAAACCTCCAAACGTCACAATTTTTGATTTATATAGTAGCACTGCGTGTCTAAATCTCGGCATACAAGATAAATTTGTCCACTCACATTTTTCCGTATCATATATTCCAGTGTATAAAGGCCGACCGATATTTAATTCTCTTCCGCCAACTATTATTAAATAAGTTCTATAAAATACAGAAGCATGCTGAAATCTTGGCTCTGGCATGGAGCCTCTTTTGATTGGTGCTTGAACCCAATCCCAGTTACCATTGCGATGCTTTCGTAAGCCCCAGATGTCATTTAAAGATTGACCTTCATTATCTCTACCACCGAAACTGACTATCATGTTTTGTGCTGATCCTTGCGGACAAATAGCTGTAGTATGATAAACTCTGGGCTGCGGCAATACAATCCCAGAAAATTCAACTTTTTTCCAAGTAAAAGGAATTGTTTGAACATCTAAAGTCCACAAGTCGTTTAATGTGGTCAGTCCGTTGTTGCCTCCAAATAAAATCAGATGAGGTTTATGAAACACTAAGGTGTGACCGTATCTTCGTCCTGGAGTAACTCCAGAAACAGGAACTATTTCCCATTGTAACGATTGTTTTGGACTGGTCAAGTCTAAAACGTAAAGCTCTTCTGTAGCAAGAGATCCCCCGCCTGTAGCTCCTCCAAATAATATTACTTGATATTCCTTTATTACAGTAACCGAATGCGCAGCGCGTGGTCCGATATCGTTTTGAATTGATAATTTAGTTGACGATAACGCATTTAGATTTAAGATATAAGCATCGCTAGTAATTTCATAAGATCCTGCATTGCCAATGGCTCCACCGAACAAAAAATAATCCGTCGGCGAAATTTGCGTAATGCTGTGCCCAAATCGGGTTTCTGGGATAGAACCAGTGAAATTAACAGAGTTCTCCATATAATAACTACATTTAAGAAATTAAGTCTGTCTGCTTTGTTTTTTTAATCAAGTATTAACTATGTAAAAAATATTTTTCACGTAAATTCAACTGCCAGATTCATATGCAGATCTTAATATGAAGAAAAACTGGGTTAAGTAAAAATATAACGGATATTCTTACACTTTGTTAAAAACGTTTTTTTTCGACTGCAGTATTCATATATTGATTCTAGAGCCAAACATATTCTAACCCATGATGAAAGAAACATACGAGCTTGTTTTGCCCACGACTGACTCAATAAAATTGTATTGTATGAGTAGTAAGTTTTTTGCTTACCTCATGCATAATGCAGTGTCTATTTTGTCTTAATACATGCTAACAAGAAATTCCTAACTCGAAGCCTTATAAAGTATTATTGATACTTGCTAGGTCTGAATCTCACAGGGTGCAGTGCTATATCAAAGAATATTTTTTGTGTATTTAAAACTAAATGTCTAAGTTTTCAATATGACGACGAAAGACACTGCAGAATTTTTGATTTCTAATACAGACAAAAGACTTTTAAACGCCTTGCCAAATTTAAATATAAATTCTGCAAAGGAATCAAATTATTCTACTGCAAAAACTTCAAATTCAGAAAAAATTAAAAGTCTAAGAAGTGTTAATCCTGTATCAAATAAAACTGTAAATATACCGGAAAATTTAACAAGAAGTTTGCTTGAGACCAAAGAATGGCGGTACAAACTGCTAGTTTTAGAAGCTGAACAGATCCAACACTCTTCAAATAATTTCTCCGATTGCGTAGTTTCATCTGATGAGACAAATAGAAAAAAATTGGATAACAAAATCGACAAAAACTTCTCGCTTTGTATTTCCAAAACCAATGTAGATGTTGTTCCAATGTCCACTACTAAAACTTTTGACTCTTCGCGAAGAATAAATCTAGTAAAGGAAAAGAAAATTGACAAATCAGAAATGTTAAGTGACACTACTGTTACAGAATATAAAATAATCAAGGAACCTGACGTGAAATCCCACAAGGATACGCAGAAATTTAGCACTTTAATTAGAAATCAAAATGAAAATGATTCTTCAAACTACGAAATAAATAATACCTTAAGTGAAAACCAATTAGGAGTAGAAAACCCGGATAAGCAAACTTGTCATAAACAAGATTCACATTCCAATTTTGTAGAACATAAAAGTATTAGATCAGAAAGTTTGATCAATATTCAATCGACTAATGATAATAGAAATGAAAAGCCGAAGCAAAAAAATTACTTTGCAAAAGAAAAATCGTTTTTCCAAAGGAATTTAGTAAATTCATTCGCTGATAATAAAACTGATAAATTGAACTCAAAAGTCAATCAAGGTTTTACGCCAGTTCAAAATTTGATTTCTAATTTCAAAAATTTTCAAAAAACTAATTCAATTGAACACTTAACGACTCCCAACACGTGTCAAAGTTCTAGAGCAACATGCGCCAATTTTGAATTCGAACAATTCAAATTAATCTTGGAAAAACAAAGTTTGAATTACGACATCTTTAATAATGAGTCAACGTGTTTACTAAATATTGACTACGAAGTGTCAGACATGTCGATAGACATGTTTTTGATTTATGTGGCTGAATTTTTAGAAATAACTAAACGCTCGCTATCTGCATACCATGAATTTTTTCATGAAATCGTTGAATTTGGACTCGGTAGCAGCACGCTTTCGTACAAAAATAAAAACGTGATCCAAACTTTGCTCGAACTTATATATATATGGATTTTCAAACCTATTACTGCAACTGCAAATCAGCCTCTTGCTGAGCATGAAAAGGTATTACTTGAACAAACAATTGATGTAGCTTTCTGTGAATATTCGACATTGGCAAAATATGAAATTAAAAAACTTCATGAAAGACTCTCTGTTAGTCTTATTGATAGTCTTAAAAAAAAAAAGTTGATAATGGATTGCGGTGTTTTTAACTTTCAGAATAAACAAATTTTTAACAAGACAATAATGGATCTAAACTCAATTTTTGGCTATATCAAACAAATTTTTCTGGACAATAAATCAAATACTTATAGAAGGAAAAACACCATAATTGAAAATTTGCTTGAACTTTCAAACCAGAACGAAGTAAAACTTTTTAGTGAAAAATGGAATAACTTATTTACGAGTAAGTTAAAAACGTTTGTATATGCAGTTGATCGCATAAATGATTTACACAACTTATATAACAAACTTGTGCGTCTTCAGAAAAATGAAAATCGTCAAACTTTTGCCAGTATTATGGATAAATGGATTGATAGCCAGTTTGAAGCTGTAGATGTCGTGCTAAACAAAAAATTGAACAATGCAGAAATCATTATGGATAATGTTGAATACCTCGTACAAAACCACTTACTGCCTATGTCTTTTTTAAAAGGAGGATACGTGGACTCGTCTATCAGAATTAAAGACAAAGCTTATCGACCGGTTAAACTGCCACTTCCTTCTATAATAAACAGATTGGGCTGTTATGTTTTAATGCCTGCCATAGCCATAACATCTGGTCAGTATATTAACAATTTACCGCTTGATATCATTAAGCTCTGCATTGGGAAAAACGTCTGTAAATGCGGATACTGCGAGTTTTGTTATATTCAAAAAGATTATGTTTTACTAACTATTTTTCCTACATTCAAGAGTAGGGTCGATGGCGTTAGATTTTTCTTGCTTGATGAAACGCAAACTAACCCTTTTTCATAGGTATAACGATATTAATTGTATTTTGATTAACAAAAAATTTTTTATAATGAATAATGGTTTAATTAAAAGTATGGTGGCGCAAAAAAATCGAACTGCCCGAACCTAGACTTTTAAGTAGATAAAATTATCTGATCATTATATAATTAGAAAATGATGAACTGGTTCTTGCGAAACGTGTTATTTATAGAACCTACTGATTTATCACATTTTAGCTGGAAAGATTTGCTACCCAGTTTTGCAGAAATGAAATCATTGTTTCAAGAAAGTTTTGATGATGAACAAAAAGAGGATCCGCTTTTCGTTGCAGATAGTGAATTCAAAAAAAAAAAAATATATAAAATTAAACTAACTGTTAATGGCGTAAGTTCCTATGTTATTTTATATTTCGATCAAAAATCTAGTTCATTTGTTATTTCTAACGAGCAAGAACTTGATGTTCGCCGCTTAAGCGTTAAATTAGTCAAGGAAGTCGGAATATATTCGTCTATGTTGCTTTCGATTATGTTTGTTTCTACGAAAATCGAAAAATCAATTACGATGCAATGGAAGTTTTCGTCAAACCAACAGTTTCAAGAAGTTATTGAGATTTTTAAAGCGTATAATCACATTAACATAATTAGAGACAACGTAGTATTTGCTGGAACGCAGAAAAAAGTTCGCCAAAAACAAAAAGTCACGCAAAGCACACAAACCTTTATTATT